TGGGCCTAATCCTGTTTAATGTTTTAAGTTGTCTGGGTGTCCCATCACTAATCAGGGGCATTCTAGTAACTTCCTGTATCATTGTACTACACCATAATATAAATAATAGTACTGTCGACTGAAGTGAGTGTTCGACATTCCTGCATCTCTTCTTCTTCTTCTTCTCTTTTCTGCTACTTCGGCTACAGTAATTTAGCTTTCAATATATATAGACTCTAAACTCATAATGATCCTAGGAGTCAAACTGTTAGACTCGTAATAGTCTTAGGAGTAAAACTGTTAGACTCAATAATCCTAGTAGGATTCAAACCAAGCTGCCATATCCTATTTCAATTCAAAGAAGACTCAATAACTCTAATCCTACATTCCTACTTATGCAATGACTCTGAAATTTTAAACATAAACAAACTATAACTAAAAAATTTAAATCCTATCATTGGACCCCACAGATAATTGCAAAAATGACAAAAATACCCTTGGTATTCAATTCAGTCCAAATCCCAAGTACCATCACTATGCTATATCAGGACCTGTTGTAAGGCCTTCTTCTTTCTAGAATAAGTCTTCAAGGGTGCTGATTGATTCCTATCAGAAAGGGACAGCCAGATCTGATTTTTGGCTTCCTCCCATTCTTCTCAATTTCTCTCTTCTTCTCTTCTCTACAAAATCCTCTTTTCTTTTTCTTTTCTATCACAGGTTTCAAATCAGATTGGTGTTTCGCACTTTCTACTCTTTCCAACCAGATAGCCCACAAAACTGCAGATGGGATGACAGGCCACACTTGTTTCCCTTCTTTAGGCATGCCAGGCACTCTCCACCCAGCTAGCACAGAAGAGACTGACTCCAGCCAGAACCAACTCCGATTAATTGCCTTGAGAAAATGCTGCCAAACTACTGCTGAGAAATTACAGTGAATAAACAGGTAACCTGATAACTCAGTTTGCTGATTGCACAATGGACAAAATAAGTCCAGTAAGGTAAAGCCTCTTCTCATCAGCATTTCCTGGTAAGGCACTTCTCCTTAGCATCCACCCAAGTGAAAAACTTGACTTTAGAGGAGAAGCTACTCTGTTCTCTGATTTGACTGAGAAAACAAGGCCAGATCGAACTGAACTAGGAGCATCCTATTCTGACTGGGACACTTCCCCCTAAGGCCCCGTTCGCTTTTCGGTAAATTATTTACCCGGGTGCATTTACTCATGTTCTTTTATTTCTCATGTAAATAAGGCAATGACCATTTTAGCCATAAACATCCATTATTAAAAAGGGCATTTTTGTCCCATTCAAGTGTTGGCAACTTTCTCCTAGGTGGGAAAGTTATTTACCCATCTAGGAGATGGGTATCACTTACCCGGTGAAGAGAAATTCCCAAGTTGACCAGATTAGGTAACCTTCTATATATTGCTCTTTTCATGTTTACAAGAATGTTGATTCCTCTGGTTTCTTCTTGTAATAAACAAACATCAGTATTGCTGAGATCCTAGCCTATGAGTCCAGATCTGGTCCCAACAGCCATTGCAGCCATACATTGGGAACATCAGTACGACTACAATGGCCGTTGGACTGTGTTGGGACCAGATCTGAACTTTTAGCCTGTACACTCTTTTCTTGCTACAAAGTTCTCTGAATCTTCTCCAAAAACATGGTCAAGAGTACAATTCTTTGTTTTAGTATAATTCTGACATAGGCAAACTATACTTTTTTCTTTTTCAATTTTCACTTGTTTATGTGGGAGAATAACCAGCTCCTTCACCCATCTGTTGCATAATATATTCTTTCTTTCCCCTCATAAGACCCACTTTAGGGAGATGCTATAAGGTATATTGTCAAATACTTTAAACTAGCAAAATCCACTAGGAGAATACGGAGATCATACCAAAGGATTTCAAATTCAGTTTTGAGCAGTGTTTGATCTGTCTCAAAGAAGAATTTTCTACTAAAATTTAGGTCAGACTTTAGTACCAAGTTGAAATTTCAGGAAGATATTACATGCTTTAAAATACCCATCTTGATTTCATTACTCCTTTTCTCCACTTTCTCATGTCTAGTTTATCTTTTTCCCAGTTGACTTTGTCTAATTATCCAAACCATCTCTATCTTTTCCTTCTAACAACCAAATTGTAGGATACTATATTCTTTATAGATTTTGTTTCCATCGTCCTATAAACTGGAATTAAATGGCAGAATTTCAAAAGTTCTGATGAAATTTTAATCCATGTAATACCTTCTAATCACATGGTAAGGAGAACGGATAGTGTATGATGTACTCGACTACCAACTTCAAGTTACCATATTGGAGAAATGTGGAAATAACGAAAAAATAAACAAATAAGCAAAAAATGGAAGAAAAAAAAGATGATTGCAAAGATTCTTAACTTCCCATAACCATGTTTTCCCCTATGCAGTAAGGGAGTGTTACTGATCCATAAAGCAATACTCAATTGAGAGAGTATATGATAAACCGAAAATGAGAACGAACGAAAGACACTCACCATCTTCCCTTTCTTGAACCATTCATCCGATGGGCTCGGCTCATCTGAATATTTACCTGCGAAAGTAATCAAAATATCAGTCAATAATTCTAAGCGAAAATGAGAAAACAAATTAACAATAAAAGCATGTATAAAGAATACCTCCACTGAATGAAAATCCATCACCAACAGAAACAGGAGCATCCAAGAGATATTCCTGTTAAAGTGACACAGTTCTCATACACCTTATTAAGTAGGCCGAAATTTGGACTCATAGATATCAATCAAATAAGCACTAATACCCCCTCTTGTTCGCGGCTCGATCTGCAACTGAATCTAAGTTTTCTCCTCTCGGCTTTTCCAGCGGAGAAGTTGAGCAACTGTCGAAGAGATGGATGTGAGGAAGGAGAATTGAGGACGAAAGGAGATGACTGCAGCGAAGAAATATTGGCTTGAACCATCATGACAAAATGTGAGACGCACAGTACGAGAGAGAGAGAGATGATAGCGGTTCTCTGGTTCTCGCTTCACAGCAGTTTTTATGGCACAGAACAACAAGGAAAAAAAAAACAAAGAAAATCAAAGAATGTCTCTCCATTTTTTTTCCTTTCATCAAATGATTTAAACGTAACTTGAATTTTTTAAACATACTTTATCGGCTTACTCCTTTCGATTCTCATTTAAATTTGGGTAAATAGCCGACATCTCACCTGAAATTTGATAATTTAAAAAATTTGATAATTTTTTAAACGTAATTTGAAATTTGCAAAATAGGCCCCTTTCATATGATCTCTATTACTAATAACTCCATCTTTGGACTTTTCATTAGACATTTTTATTTCTTATATAAGCAACATACAACGGACATAAAAAGTGCATATATGTCCGTTATTCTCACTCCAAAAACTACCCACTTATAATACTTAAGAAATTACCCACTCATAAATGTTCAAAAACTGACCACTTATAACAATTAAGAAACTGCCAACTCATAAATGTTCAAAAACTGCCCACTTATAACAATTAAGAAACTGCCCATTTATAACTGTTCAAAAACTGTCCATGAATTGTAAATAGTTTTATCTTGGAGATACTATCACGTGCAAATGCACATACATGGTTATTAGTCTTCTAAAAAGAGACATGTAGGGTGCAAATGGATCGGCCATCCAAGATTCGATCCTATTTGGTCGAATTGGGATCAGCTTTGGTTGGATCTTTGGATTGGATACTATGATTTGATCAGAAATCGGATCGGATTCGGATCCCCCCTCTCTTTTCAATCCGAGAAGATCTGATATGATGTATATATTTATAAATATAATATATATATGTTATTTATTTACTTATAAATATATTATTTATATTGTATTTTTTGTAAAGTTATTATAGTATTTATTTTTATAAAAAACACGTATATATATGATGAAAATAATTAAAAATACTTGTATTTTTTATTTTTCCTTTATTTAAATTGATATGTTTTATTTTTTTCTTTTAATAAGTTATTAATTTTTAAAGAAAACAAGTCAAATCAAATTAGATCCGAAGATTTGATAGGATTCGACTTCAGATCGAGTCCTATCAGATCCGATCAGATCTTCAGATTGGATCAAATCCAACATGAACAGTGTTGGATCGGATTTGAATATACACTGATTCAAATCTGATCCAATCTATTTGCATCCCTAGATACATGGAAATGTTTAAAACATCCATGCATTTACTTTAGACAAAAATGTCTATTGTCCAAATTTTATATTCATATGAATCACTGCCCCAAACCCTTCCAATATCTTTTCTAAAATTGATTTATTTTCTAAATTTATCCTTTATATCAATCACTCAAAGGAAAAGTTGCAACTTTAAATTCTCTTTGTTTTTGTTTTCAGAAAGTTGATATTTCTTTTTCATGGAAACCAGCCTCAATAGTAACTTCGTGGGTATTTTGGATGTTTTCATGCCTTTTTTTAGAAAATCCTACCCAAGGGGGCCTACTTGCAACTGTATCAAAAAACTTTAGGGGAAGTGATTGCAATTACTACACTTCAGGGGTAGTTTCAGTAACAATAAAAAACTTCATGGAAGGTTTTCACCCTTAAAAATTTTTAAATCCTATTTTGCCCTTCTATGCCTTTTACATATGAGACGTAATATTCACATGGCTTCTCACAATGGCTTATGATTTTGGTCTTAATCTCATCGAACATGGTCTTAATCTTATTGAGCAGTGTAGGGAGATGGGTAGCAATCCAGGTTTAAATTTGAACCTTATCCTCCTCTACACAAAATCCTCGTCCTTCCATCACCAAATACAATAATTTTGTTACCGCCAAATCTGTGTTCAAACTTATTATTGTATCATCCATCATGGTGGACAATACAATAATCATGTTACTCTTATTACTTTCATCTTCCTCTATGCCAGTCGCTAGATATAGTAATCTTGTTCTCTCCATGACAGTAGGGATGACATGAAAAGTTGCAGGAATCGATGGTTGATGAGAGTAAGTAGTAACAATATTATTGTATCTAGTGTAGAGGAGGATGGGGGCTTTGTAGTTGATGATATAGTAATATGGTTATGCATGGTCTTAGTCTTGTTATGCACCACATACAAACTACCTTGTTCCACCTATATGCATGCAAAGCCCCCATCTCCCATCTACTTTCCCTTGGATGGCATAGGGAGTTCAAATTAAAATAGCCCCCCCACAAGACTGAGCTCCACAATGTCCCACAGCATATCTCCGCCGTGTATTGGGAACATCTACAGATGATGACATCATCATTTCTGGTATTATCATCAGGAGATATTCTCAATACATGGCGGGACTGTGCTGTGGGACGTTGTGGGGCGCAGTCTTGTGGGGGGGCTGATTTGATATCTGGCATAGGTTGCTCAAAGACTTTGATGATCCCATGATGGACAGGGCTGAATAAATTTACAAGAATTAGAATTATAAATTTTTACTATTTATTACTCTAGAAATTCGAAGAATCTATTACAATAATAATCGATGGCAATATAATATGCTTGCTTTCATTAATCCATTGATTCTTCGATTATCAACTTACATGTTTTGTATTTTTTTTTTTTGAATGTAGTAATTACAATTCTCCTTAATTAATTTGAACCCTCCATATCAAAGTAGAGAAGAAAGTAGGGTAGGGAGAAGAGATCCGAGGAAAGTGATATGTATGATAGTGGAGAAACTCAAATCTGATATGTTGGTCATGGGAAACCATAGCTATGGGTTCTAAAAGAGGTGGATGGACTCATGGACCATAGTAGCATTTAACTTCTATTTAGATTTAATTTGCATTTATTCATGTACTTCTTTTTGAAATTTTGAAAGAAAATGAAGGGTAAAAGAGTCACAGGTATAGGATCAAAGACATAGGATGGAAGTTTATAGTTTGTAGTAAGGGTGCAAGTTGGGTTAGCTCGACCTAACACTTTACACTATTTTGGGCTCAGGCTTTGGGTTAGGCCCATTGAAATTTTGACAAAATCCCAACCCTAACCTGCAAAAGTTGCACCCCCTAATTTGTAGTTTGTAATTTGCATTTATTCATGTACTTCTCGTAGTTTGTAGCAAAGACCTAGGATCAAATCAACAAATCTCGCTACCATGAGGGTTGGGGGTTAAGGGGGATATAAATATAAAATTGTTATAAACAAAATATTAAAGTGTATGGATGCATACATACATTCTAATGTTATAGATATTACTGATGGATGTATAATTGTAAAAGTGTATGGATATATGTATATATGTTATATATTACATATAATTAATATTATATCATAATATATATATATATGTGTGTATACATATGTTAGACATCCATATATGTTTATGAATGTGATGTTTATTATGTATATATTCTTATAATAATTACATACATATACATTAATGTTTGTGGCCTAAATAAAATAATATTTATAATTATAGAACTATAACCATATAGTTATAATTTAAAGTAACAAATTATAGTTATGATATATATATCTTACATATAACTATAAAAAATAACATATATAAATATGATATAAAAAATAAATATAAATATAAATTTGATGCCATCAAAGATTGTAACAAGGGTAATTCGGGGCTACGAGGTTATATAGCCATAGGTCCCACATATGAATACAAAAAGATGCCAAAGGCCCAGGGTGTGGTTCCAAGGGCAACGACTCCAACAGTTTAAGTCAACGGGGTGCTGAGGTAAGAAATAGCAAGAGCAAAAATGAGAGTTAGAGCATGGTTTTAAAGGGCTACAGAGGCAAAGCCAAAGGCCTATGCCTTGAGGCGAGGCGGACCAAAAAAGCCTGGCCTCGGTAGCCTTTTTTTTCCCAACAAGGCCTTGAGTTGGTAGAGGCATAAGCCTTTTGGCCTTTAGCCTCAACATCGTTAAGGCCTACGCCCCAAATTTTAATGTTGTCAATGCTGAATAATTATATTTTTATAGGGGTTAATTTGAGAATAAAGAAAAATAAACAAATCCAAAAGCTTAGGGCATGTTTTTCTATCTTACTTGGAGTAAAATTATAGCAACTGAAGAATCGGAGACGAGACGAGAAACTGACTACAGTCATCAATAGACTAAAAGACGAACCGGTGGTGTTAAGGGTGAGGCTGTACTGGTGCACCAAAAAGAAATAAGAAAGTTAAAAAGATTGTTGAGGGGGTGTAGCTCATATGGTAGAGCGCTCGCTTCGCATGCGAGAGGCACGGGGTTCGATTCCCCGCACCTCCATGATTGATTGAATTAAGTAATGAGTTACCCATGCTTGTCCCTCCTTTTCCTATTCTTTTCTAGTTTTTTTTTTCTTCTCATTATATCCTGTTCTTTTTTGAAAGATGCTCTATTTTGGTGGTTGTTTTAATATTCATGAATATGCAATATTTAATTTGGAATAAAGGTGGGTTGTGTTGTGCTGGCCCGCGGGTCGCCACAGGCCGTGCCGTCCTCCCCGATGGAAATTTTGGGGGTCGGCCCGTGCCGTGTCGTACCGGCACGCGGGCCTAGGCCGGGCCGGACTGCAGGCCGTGCCATGAGCTTGGGTCGTGCCGGGCTAGGCCACAGTGTCACAAGTGACCAATTTGTCGCATCATCAAGTACCTTCACCACGCCCACAGCATACCATCCAAGTGTCCAAGTGTGTGTCTTGGGTGGGGCATTGCATGTATTTTGTATGGGGGATTTCTAATGGCATTACTATAATTCTGTAGTATGATTTTCCACATTTTTTATGTTTCTTATTGTCACTCCCCCAAAAGCTTAACGTACTCTTTGAGGGGAGGTAGGTAGTCGAGTGAATCAAGAGCATGTAAAGGTTAAGCATGAGATCCCATTGACACTGAACTGTGTGCTTATACTTGCCATCCATTATTGCAATACAAATAACCTTTTGACTAATCTGTGTGCCATCTTTGTTGTCTTTTCTTGTGTTGTTGCTTGTTGTTTAGGCTTATTCGTCACATTCGAGTGCCGCATAGAGCCCCATCGACTAGCCCCATGGCAGTTGGTATCATAGAAGTAGCTCCTACACGCACATTGGACCCTGTCAACCGCCCCTAATTCAGCACAATGAAG